GCTCCCTCCCCCTCCTTACCGGCTCCCTCCCGCTGCAGTGTATCGTGACGTCGGCGGGTGGAATCGAGGAAGATTTAATTAAATGTTTGGGCGAATTTGTTGTTGGGTCCTTCCACGGCATGAAGGGGCGCGAGTTACGCGCGAAAGGATGGAATCGGATTGGGAACATTTATGTGCCGAATGAAAATTATATCAAGTTCGAAGCCTGGCTGCAACCGATCATAACGGCATGCGTCCGCGAACAAGACGAGCAGGGCACGGTCTGGACACCCGCAACCTTCATCGAACGCCTCGGCCGCGAAATCAACGACGAATCCTCGCTCCTCTTCTGGTGCACTCGCAATCACATCCCCGTCTTCTGCCCTGCTCTCACAGACGGCTCCATCGGAGATAACCTCTACTTCCACCATGCCACACACCCCTCCCATCTGCACTTCGACATCGTCGCCGATATCGCCGCCGTCAACAACCTCGCACGCGATGCTAAACGCACCGGACTCCTCGTACTCGGCGGCGGCGCTCCCAAACATCACGTCTGCAACGCCAACCTCATGCGCAATGGTGCCGACTTCGCGGTCTACCTCAACACCGCCCAGGAATTCGACGGCTGTGATTCAGGCGCCGCCGTCGACGAGGCCGTCAGCTGGGGCAAAATCAAAGCCGACGCGCAATCCATCAAAGTAAACTTCCCGGCCGTCGGCCACCCCCACGCCGTGGGACACGACCACCCCCGCTCGGTCAGAGCACATCACCCCAGCCCACCCCCCAGGGTGAAAGTCCCCACAAGGTGACGTTCCAAGGTGACGTTCCAGGGTGACAGTCTATGCAGGGTGGCGTTTCCGATTCTGGCTTTTGTTCAGGTCAACTGCGACGCGACCATCGCCTTCCCACTGTTGGTCGCGTCGGTCTTCCGGGGCGAGGTTGCGGCGCGCGCAGTCGCGGGCGAGGACGAGTTCATTCTGCGGTCGCCCTTTGCAGCCTCTTGCTGATCTCGCTGCGGACCTTGAGCCATTTATGGCGCACCTTCCGGAGCGCGAGGACCTTTTCCATCATCTCGCAGCGGCGTTCGAAGTTGTCGCTATGTACGCGGTACTGGAGTCGCTGTCCCTCCGTAAGCGCGGCGGCCGCAAGCAAGTCAAACGCCGCACTCGTCTCCGCGTCCAAGTGTGCCAGTGCCAGACTCTCCGTCTTGGTCTTCGCGTCCGCCATGTCGTTGCCAAGGTCACACACAAAAACAGGTTTCTTCGCCAAGTCCACACCGAACACATTCGGCGGCTGCGCAGGACTCGTCCACCTACCCATCTCCTCCAACCGCGGCAACGCCGATACCGCACTCTTCACCTCAAACTCCACATTACTCATGTGGAAGTCCACCGCCGCCGCCCAGGACTCAGACGTCGAATAAAACGTCTCTGGCCCAGGCAACTCCGGGTCCAGTGCACACGCATTCTGACTCAACACTGACCCCAACCAGGCAGCCGACCGCACCAGGTCCTCCGTGGAGATTTTGAGCGATTCGTAGTCACACAACGCCACCTCCAGAATCAATAAACTTGTACTGCAAACCAACCGGTTCGCGAAGTTACTCGTCGAGTCCTCCTCGCACGTACCTAGCAGCAACTACAACAACGAATTAACGAACGTCCGGGCGGTGGGCCTTACGTGCAGATGGTTCATGGCAGACGTTTGAAAAGGAATGTCAAATTCAAATAGCGATAAGATGGAAACCTCGAACTCCAAAAGGGCCGTGAGTCCCACTCGACCTACTGGATTGCTACAGAGCTACAAAGCGGCGCGTGTATGGCAAGTAGAGGTGTCTTACGACGTCGGGGGGGAGGTATCGTGAATTATTCCATTTGGACGCAAGGAGAAGGCAGGCCATCATGACGGTTCTGAGCTCTTCCTTGGAGACGAGACCCAAGTGGTGTTGAATGACGCCGGAAACCTCAGACACCTCGACCGTAGTGACGGTTGCGGCGGTGGTTAGTCGGCTGAGCGACTCTGCAGCGCCGGCCGTAGATGTGACGTGCTTCTGCTGTGTGGCCGCTTCCTGCAGGAAGGCGGACAGCTCGAGGTTCCCACCGGTGGACTCGGAGACGGACGCGATCCACTTGGCAAATTCACAGATGACGAGGTCGAAAAGGAACGCCGTCTGGAAAAGGACCTCGTGGCGGCCCCTGTGATGGGCGAAAATTGCGTGACCTGCGAGGCGGAGCAAACGCCGACGCAATCGGGCCAAAATGGGCGCGCCTGTGTGGCTGCCCGGCAGCGACGCGTAGAGCGCGTAACACTGTTGGCGGTACTGGTCCAGAATCTGTCCATGGACGGGAAGTCGCGACTTGATGCTGTAGATCAGGAGGTGCTTGGACTCCGCTCCACAGGTTTGGACTTTGAAGCGTTTCTGCGCGCTGTTCGTTCTCAGTCCGCGCTTCCGAACAGTCGAAGGCGACACCACGTCTTCTTCCTTCCCTGGCTTGGGTAGCGGCAAGTACATAGACGGGGGCGTGTACACGTGTCCACAGGTTTCGAAGTACTCGTAGTCATTGTCGTCCTCGTCCGTCTCGTCGTCCATCAAGATCCCCTCCATGAACTGCGCGTCCACGTCTGCCTGACCGTCTGGGCGGTTCCGCGCCTCACCTGCTGGAGACGGCTGCGGAAGTTGTTGCTCGGCGTTCTGCGCAGCCGTATAATTTGCAGTAGGCGGCTTACCTCGTCCTTCGTCGCCAACGTCACCGCCCGGGTATCATCTGCCGGAAACGAAATATTGTCATCCAACTTCGTTCCCGGAGCCCGGTGGATGTTGTGGATGCTGACGAGGCTGGGAGCCCCCACAGGGAGCTTTTTGTTGTCATCTGATACTTGATCAGTGGCCTGAATACGTTTTTGGCAGCTTTGTGGAAAAATATGCATCAATCCAAATGTGTTTGGCACCGGTATGAAGAACACTTCTAGTCCAATCGCAGCGCGCTTCTGATAAATTTCCAAAATCGCTTGTACCAAGGCTTCTTGTTCAGCTCGTCATAGCTATCAAGTCGTATCACCTCAGTATTCCGTGGTTCTGGCACAGGTTCCACGGCAGGCTCCGAATCGGATTCCGGAATCTTCGCAGGCACCTGAACCTCGCCATTTGCAATGAGATCTCGCAACAGAACCTCGGCAACATTCAGCAACGCCGGTGCATAGCCGTCATATCCCTTATCATGCTCCCATACCTCGAATTGACCGGACACCAGCGAAAATAGAGCCAAAATGATGGAGCGCATCATGGCCAAACACACGTTCGATAGACCGTAAAAAGCGAATTAGTCGAGTCGTTGCCTTCGCAGGGCTTCAACAAAAGCCTTGTATGTGGCATCGACATCAGCAGACAATCTGCGGTGAGGCAACGATGCTTCTTGGATCTCTGCAGGGCTGAAAGTCGGTTCCTCCATAGGTTCGGGAAGAACGTCCTCCTTTCCTTGTTCAAGAAGGACGTCGCCGTTGTATTCTGCGACAGGTTCGTACTCGGGCAGTATAACCTGAATTCGTTGGTCTTCTTGAGTTGCATTGATAGGGTTCCAAGCAGGTGGAACCAATGAGCGCTTAATATCAGCGACCATCGACTTGGCGGGCAAGACCGGCAGTTCACCGGCCGGCAGGCTTTCGACAAATGATCTTATGACGGGGAAAGTCTTTCCCCTCAGCCTGGGGTCTTGCATAGTGTATCCCGCAGGCAAATGCACAGTCCGAATGGTAATAGGGGCTCTGGTCACCATATCGTTAAGCATATCATCGAATTCTTCAGTAGTTTGAACAATGGTAGGATTGAACGCATCCTTCCTTTCTTTCGCCAGCTCGAGCTTGTCGAAATAATCTTGGAAGGCGCTTTCCTTCTCCCTCTTGTTCGCAGTTCGGCGGAAATTGAGGATGTCCTTCGTCGACAAAAATCCCATACTTCAGAACTACTCTCAAGATAACTGCACATTTTTATTCAGCATGCAAATACCATTTTAACCGAGTTTATGGTGTGATAGGGAACGATCGTTTGCCGCATTATGAATGAGCATCGTGATATCCGTGAATGTTGCATCAACGACAAATACTATAGCGGGTACTGTAGTAGACAACGAATATGGTAACGTATGGCAGCTATGAATGTTCCAAAGCGGACGGAAGTTATAGCGTTACAGAAGCATAGACATCACAACGTCCAAAGTGTCGTGTGACAAACCAAAGTAGAGTTATATAAACCGGTGTTGTGTGGGAACCTCTCCACACTTCATGGCGCTTCCTCGGTTTGTGGTGCACGCAACATGCGAACGGTTCTTCTCTTGTCTGCAGTGGCGGTATATGCTGGAAACAGCGGTATCCGTTGGGCGAAAGGTAGTAGCGGGGGTGACAGCGGGAGCGTGTTATCGGAGAAGACGACCCCGTGTTCTTCGCTCAAGTTTGTCACAGCCAGCTCCTCTCAAACAACGAAGAACGTCTGCAGATCTATATGCGGGGGACCGTGTCCTTCGTTCATTCCCGACGTGAAGCGTGACCTATGTAAGCTTCTTGTCCACCTCCCCCCCCCCTTCTTCAGTTCCCCTTTTACAATTCCCTGTTCCAACGCAATCCCCGCTCCAGTCCGGTTTCGTTAGACCATCCTGTGTCGCACACAACGAAGAGTCAGAAATGTACTGAGAACGCGGTCGAGACGTTGTGCATCATAGACGAGGAGGCGTTACAGCCTTCGGAGTCGGACGTGTTGTCGGCCTGGATCACAGGACACCACATTCGGGAAGGCCATCGTCGCGTAGTTGGACACGGTCTCAGTAGCGCGGGGACCGCCGGCGATCAAGACTCCAGTAGTGACGACCAGGATGACACCGCCAGCGTGCGCAGTGCCGCAACCGCCCGTAGCTCCATGAGTCTGTCCGGCGTCCTCGCAGCCGAACCCGCCATTGTGGTCCCAGAGGGTGCCTGGAAAGAGCCCGAACTCTTCTTCACTAAAGTCGGCGCCGTCCGCCCGCAAATGGAGGTCAAACTATCCACCTACCTCGGGAAACCCCTCAAGGCCGGATCCTCCGACGAAACTGTCATTCAGGCCTACTACTACATGCAGAAACAGGCAGCCCCCAACGACATCATCGAGTTCGTCGACTCCGCCAAAACCGGCAACGCGGCTTCAGACCTCGTCCCAACTCTCTTACTGGTACCGCTCCTCTGCCTCCTAGCCTGACCTCCAGCTTGCAATGATTGAGACGCGCACAACTAAAGTGCGCCCAACACTAGGGACAACGAAGTAGAGAACCACAGGCGCACATGCTGCCATCAACAGGGGTCCTCACCAACGGGGATCGCCACCAACAAGGGTCGGACATTCGACCCGAAAAGAGAGATTCACACAACGTTTGTGTCCCAGCCGGCGTTTGTGCCCGCAACGACTTTTGTGACTCGAACAAGTTTCTGATGGCTGTGGTTCGGATGCCAAGGTCATTTCAACAGACAACCTTGGACTAGCAACTGGACTCGGAGTATTGTGATGTGCTGGACGCAGGATAGCTGCAGGGCGCACCATAGGACCGCATGCTATTTTAATTTTGAATTTCTATGTCGTCGATCTCTTCATCGAATCATCAGGTGGGTGCTGGTGCCATTCCCCAGTATTCGAACAACCCACAAATAGAACAGCTCTTCGCGAGACTCGGCCAGGTAAGACGCTCACCCATTCCCGTGTTCCCACTTTTTCTCTTTCTGTCGGGCATGACTCCCCTTCCGCCGGGCATGACCCCCCTTCTGTCGGCTATGACCCCCTTTGATTATTCCCCCTTTCTTGTATCCGCATTCTCTATTTCCGTATTGTCTGTTTCATGTAGGAAGTCGACGAGAAGAATCCGTCGAACCCGATCTTCTTCGTGGTAGACTTTTTGTGTAAGCACTACCCAGGTCATTTGTGTGGCTTTGCTAGTGTGTGGAATGCCAACCCGGAATTGGAGCGTGACCGCTTAATGGTGATCGAGTTTTTCCGATTCCAGAAGCTACCTACGGAGGTGGCTTCTCATTTTACAAATGCTGGTTTTGATACTTTGGAGACGTTATGCTCCCTAACGCCGGAAACCCTGGACGAGATCGAGCGGTTCAATCAGACGAGGTGGCTGCCCGGTCACAAGGTCCGACTCACCCAGACGTTCAGCGACATTGCCGGCCGGGTCCGGGCCTTCCGCCAAGAACGTGAAAAACTTATGCAGGTTGCTAGACTGGCCAACGGCTATTGCGACCACCCGACCGTCCTCACGAGAACCAACGTACCCTCCGGAAGAGCCCCCGCCATCACCATGGGACCCAACCCAGTGCCCCAGGCTACAATCGCACCTACTCCAGCCAGAGCCCCTGTCAGCATCCAACCCGGTGCCATGACCGGCATGCCCGTCTCTGCTTGCTTTGTATAATTCACCGTGACCCTGGTAGTGGTCTTGGAGCCATTGTCCGAGAGCCATTGGGCAATCCTGCAGTAATTGCGGACTATGTGTCGCCGAAGATGGCCCCTGAGCGCAGCCGCCGCCATACAAGGAAGCTCTTCAGGCTTGCCGCTCTGGAGGCCTGTTAAGGGCGCTCCGCCCACAACCATTTTTCTCCCGCACACGTGTGCGCGCGCGCGCGCGCGCGCGCGCCTTCGTGGAGTGCTCATCTCTTGAAGAAACAAACAATATAATATCTAACGTAGACAAAATCGAACTCAGATCAAACATATCTGGTGCCGAACAGGTGGCTGACAGCAAGCCCGGCCCACTGATGGCATTTTGTGCGCACCTTCGTGTGCGGGCCCACATTTTAAAAAAAGATAATAACGAGAGAATTGTTCCTACCGACAATGAACAGTTATTGGGCTTCTCCACGACCACGGGCATTATTTATTACCCAATTACCCGCTCAATGCGCCCATGATTGAAGTCCGTGTTACTAATGCCACCGAGATACAAGAATTGGCAACAGTTGATGACCGCTGCACGCGTGCGTTGGTTCGAAGTTTAGGGGGTCAGGGTCGGCGGGAATACGCGGATGTCCTCCGACAATATTTGGCGAAATCCATTCGGTCGGAACTCGCTTTGATGCCAGTTCCTCTGTTGATACGCACGTTAGATGACTGTAGAGCGAAGCCGGATGATCCATGTCATTCGACTGAATCAACCTGGTCGTTTGGGTCTGCCCGGTCCGGCGAATCAATCTCATCCGATGAGTCAATCCCGTCCGTTGAACCGATCCCGCCCGTTGAATCAATCCCGCCCGTTGAACCAATCCCGTCAGTTCAACAACTCTCGTCGAAAAGCCCGACTCATCGGAATTCGGGGCGAATAAGTGTGTTAAAGCACAAACGTGCGGATCCGTATCAAAATGGCAATCCGATGATAGTAGTGGTTAATACGGATTGCCGGGTGTCATTAATGTCGCTTACAGATTATGTGGTTCGGTTCTTGTCTCGAGAGTCGTGGCTGAGTTTGTCTGATCCCGCGTTGGATTATGGTTCATATGAGCGTGAGTACGAGCTGTTGACGGATCCCGCGGTGACCGAGCGCCAGCACCGGAAGCCCGGTCCATGGAAATACCGTTGGGATCCGATGACGCCAAGTGATCATCTCATACTGGAGGAAGACCTGGATTATTTTGATATGGCTCACAATGAAACCACCGGGTGGTTCGCGACGCATGACTGGCGGTGGAATGCGACAGAGCGGAACTGGAAAAAAAATGACCAGCTGAAACCGCTAAGGAATATCTATGAGGTAGCGAAAAGACGCGGAAAGACGAAACATAAAGCAGCAGAATTTAAACTACCGCCAAGGGTCAAGGTTCATCAGGACTCACTGCCCGAGAAGCAAATTGTTGGGGGCAGAATAGTGGGCGGCCGAAAGTTTCCGCGGCATCCCGGTTTGAAATTAAAGAGACCGGAATTAATTCGTGTGCGCACACGTTTGCATAATCCTACAGGAATTAGGCTGGAGGCAGAAAAACTTTACCATGTTCACGACTTGCTAAAATATCGGTATACCCTCAGCAAATGGGTCAGAGTAGGACCCAACGACGAAATAGACGGCGTCGACAAACGTGCCTTTTTCAGCCGAGATTCCGACGATCCGCTTTTGATACAAGATGACAGCTACGGAGAACGAGCTGTCACCTGTGAAACGTTAGCCCGGGACCCAAGTAACATCAATCACTATGTTGAGAGCAATTTCGTGTCGACTGAATGGGTCTATGCCCGCGCTTTGGCGCTGCCGCCCCCACTCGCGCCAGCTGACAGTTGGTTACCGTCACCCAATGCCCCCAGATTACCGCACGAATTTCATTCCGTGAGGAATCCGCGGAGAGTTACTTACGACGATCTTGAGAGGTGGCTGAAGCCGCCCCAGTTCAGGTTCTTCAGTCGATACGTCAGAAGATCAGAAGAGCTCTCGAAGGAGCTGTTCAATCAGCAGTCAGTAGACCGGTCACAGGAGGGGTCGGAGGGATCTGAGGAGGAGACAGAAGAGGAGACAGAAGAGGAGACAGAAGAGGAGACAGAAGAGGAGACAGAAGAGGACTGGTGCAATGGATGGTCAGATGAGTGGTCCGATGAGGGATTAGGCGCTGAATTGGATGATGAATCAGAGGAACGACTCGCACAGCAGACGGAAGAGCAACGATACCCCACGACGGTGAGGGCCGTAGCCCGCCAAGTTGCAAGCTCAGCTCCACGCTCGCGGTGGCCCCTAGGCTTCAAAGGACGCCGCACTAGAAACAAACAGGGCGCCGTACACACGGGAAATCGGGTTTCCGGAAACCGGGTTTATGAATACCAGATTGCCGGCGGGCAGGTTGTCGGGGACCAGATTGGTGGATATTACACAGCGGATGGCAGATTCATTCCTTGCGGGTCTGGGATTATTGAGGCCGGCGACGACAACGCCGAACGTGATTGCGATTCCGATCAGGCCGAAACTGAGCAGCGCCCGCCTCACCGGACCCCGATTTACTGGCCCCCGGTTCACCGGCCCCCGACTGGCCCGGCCACCGCTGACCAGGACCCCAGTGACGGGCCCCCGACTGAGCAGCCACCGACAGGCCGGGTCCCGACCGGCCAAGAGAGTTCTGTGGACACTGACCAACGGAGTGTGCGTTGTTTCGATTTGGTTGACACGGAGTCTGAGACGTCTTCGTCGACCAAATCCACGCATCACTGGGCGCCTGGGTATGACTTATCGCGGACTGAATTGCCGTGGTATGGACCACGGTCTCCGCGGGAGCCGGAGCCGCCGGGTGCTGGTTACGATTCGGCACGTTTACAAGCCCGTTTGTTACAGCGTCCGGAGCATCCGGCGAAGGACTGGGATAAAGAGTTGTTGGTCGTGTCGCAGCGAGCAGTACCGAATGGTTCACGGCGTCGTTCGTATAGTCGTGAGAAACCAGATTGGGACGACGTGGTGGCATGCGAGGCCATTTGGGGTGTGCCGTTGGAGTTTGAAAGTGTGCGTAAGTCTGTTTCATGGCACCGTCTTTCTCTTATTAATGCCTGGCTTGCCCGCAGATTGGAGGCTGTTATGGCTGATTGCATGGACTATAAGGTTCTTAAGGAACTCGGCAAGTGCGTCACCAATTCTCGCGCCAATATGCCTACACCTCTCGAATATTATATTAGAGCCGAAGTCCAGCAACTCGCACCTCTTGAACACCAACTTACCAATCCCATAAAAGTCAAAAGGGCCTTGTACAGAGTCCAACACATCGCCAAACAACTCCGAACACGACACATCACACAAGTCGCTTATGCACCAGCCAGGCAAATACATGACGCTCTACAAATTATCGAGAATCAACGCAACTGTTTACCGCAGCCCTTTGAACTTGTTGACTGCGTCCCGGCACCCGACTCTCACGTACATATCTTGGACCCAGGAATTTGCCAATACAAGCCTGACTGCTTGATAACTGGACAGAACAACAACGGAGATCAACGGATCAGTTCATCCTCCACCAGTGACGACTCCAGTGACGAATCCAGCGACCGATTCAGTGATCAATTCGACAATCAATTCAACAAGGAACCCAGTGAGGACTCCAGTAGCGAATCTAGTGAAGAATCCAGTGACGACTCCAGCAGTGAATCCAGCAGCGAAACAAGTGACGAGTCCAGCGGAACTTCTGAGTCGAAAGATAGCGACGAGTCAGAGGATAGCGATGAGTCGTCGTCACTTAGTACGTCGCTCGACTCTGAGTCTATCTTGGAGGGGTGGCTGGACCGTAGTCCGGATCCGCCGGACATTGCGCCATATCCGAATATGGTGTTGCCGCATTATAGGCGACCTAATGTGATGGAGTACGAGCCGTATCTCGTGCCTGAACAGTGGCCCCCAAGACCGCCGGCGATTCCGCCGCCGACCCCGCGATACAGGCCGCCTCCCCGATACCCCCGACTGCACACTGTTCCTTTAACGTACATCGCGCCTTCAAGAAGATTCGTCAGGGTCGATTCTGGCCGTAGGACCGGCCGGAGAATACGTCGCAGGAGGTCGCGTCGCTGGAGAGAGATGTCTATGCAGGGAATCGACGGAATAGAGAAGCATTTCTTTCGCCCAGTGTGTCCCCTAGGTTTCGATGACCGGGATTGGGTGACTCCGTTGCCTGTTCCGTTTGATCTCCTGATGCCACCCTCCTTGAGTGCCATTTTAGGGTTTTCGAAGGAGGATTGGGTTGGTCAAACTGACTGGTTTGAATCGAGACTGCTTGGGTACGTGACGATGGTGACCTACGGCATCGGCATGGCAGTGGGAAAAATGCTGCACATGTCGGTCCCCGTGGCTGAGGAGTACGCCCAGGAGGTAGCCCAGCAGATTGTCGATGAGGGCAGGGTAATTCCGTACGCCTGGTTCCGGGTGGCCGCTGTACCGCGAGTGCCACCGCTTCCACTACTGGAACCCCTAGGCCGTCATCGAAAGTCTCGTGGCCGTTGGAGACGGAGTTCAGAGTATCCAGACGACCCGGGCAGCGACCGGTTTGCTGGCAGACCTCCGTACGCCATCTGGCAGGGAGAGCGGGCGGCGGGTGACTCTATGGAACGCCGTTCGCTGGATCGAGTTGTGGTGGACCGAATTCGTAAAATGTTCGGTTTACCCAGTATGGACCATGTCAGAAAAATGTTCGGCCTGCCGACCGTGGAGGAAAGACCACTCACGCGCAGACAGGAGCTGTATTGCGAACGGCAGGCTCGCCGTTCCGAACGTCGTATTCGTCGCCGACAGCGGCGCCGACAGCGACGACAACAGCGACGCCTCCAGCGGCGTCAGCAGCGGCGGCGATTGCGCCTCTTAGATGTACGCCGTCGTTGTTGGTGAGGGCTGACAATGCGTGGACGGTCTGGTGACATCATTGGCGCCGCCACTGAATTTGTTCGTCTAGCTCGGACGAGGAGTCAACTATTTCACAGCCAGCAGCCGCCATTTGTTTGAGTGCGTCTCGAGTGGTTTCAGGAGCAATGCCTTTGCAAGCAAACTTGCATAACACCACTTGTAGTCCCGCCCGCTGCAGCTGAAGGACGGTCTGCAAGACACAGTAATCCGTAGCCAGACCGCCTACAAGGACGAGGTCAATATTTTTCGATTTCAGCCATTCAATTAGTCCTGTGGAGAGCCTGCCTTGCAGATCATGGTAGCACGCGCCATATGGATGGAGGTCAGGTTCAATACCTTTCCACACCACAAAATCATAGCTCGTTAAACTCGGTAATCCTGGCAGCAAGGATCCTCCAGAAGTCCCAACTACACAATGCAGAGGCCAGTACCTGTCCGCATTGCACTCCTTCCCTTTCTGCCCCTCAGCTGCCGCACGTCCCGACTGGGATATCAACTGGCCGCATAAGGACAAATCTTGGTTCTGCCAAACTGGACGGGCTGGGTGAGCGTCCTTACTCACGCAGACGTAATCACTTCTCTTGCTCATCTCCAGCAACCCATCCACTATGCTCAACGCCCCTTCAACCGGCAACTCGGTTGGACACAACTCCGAAAATCCCTGCTGAGGGTCCACGTGCAGCGAAGCTACCTTCATTTAAAATTGAAAAGATGCACTAGATCGGGGGCTCACCCACAACGAATCGGATTGACTGAGCGAATCGGATTGACTGTTAGATGGCTTTCCGCAAGCTCCTCCTCGCCTTCTGTTTGTCTGGCTTTGGCGGTCTTAGTATGACTTTGACGGTACTGGTATTACTATCAGGCCTCAAGGAAGGTCGCGCACACGTGTGTGCGCGCGAGAACTGCACCGAAATATATGGTCGATGATGGACATCGATTTTCAGCTCAGGCGGAAGACTATGGTCGTATGCTGGGCCGCGGAAACCTGCCACTGGATCAGTTCTTCAAGGAAGCAAAGAAGCCCGTAGTTAATGTCCAGGATCTAAACCGAACTCGGAAGTTCAACGCAGAAGATCGATTCCAAGCCACGGCAGCACGGGACTTGATACCCGTGATAGGGCGGCCGGAGCATGGTTTTGTGAGTCAGGGTATGGATACCTCAAAGGATGAGGGGCTGACGCCATTGTTGGCGAAGGAAACTGATACTCCAATTCAGCGTAATTTTCTAGAAGAGTTGCCGCTCTTTCATCCTTCGTCTTGGTACGTGCCGATGACTAATCATTCGTTTGGCATGGGTTATATAAATCAGATCCGGGCGGAGTACGAGAAAAAGAAGCATCCGGCATCAATGGAAGAGGATACAGCGTTGGTATGTGGACTTGAATGGCATTCAGCTCGGTTTGAGGCAGCGCCTCGTCTGCTGGCCCACCAGGCGGTGGATCGCTTGAAGGAAAGCGGACGCGTGTTGCTTGGTGCTACGGAGGAGGCGAATTGGTTGCGTAATGAGATCGAGTCCGTAACTCCCATTCACAATCCGAACACCATGATTCAGCTGTTGGGCGAGGTTGTGGACCCTCTGCCGGAAGTCCACGGGAAGGGGATTAGCACCCATGAGATATCCGTCATCCGTCGGCTGGCTCCGCGTCGTCCGATGCGATTGTATCCTTGTCTCATGAAACAGCATCCCGTCTATCGCGAACTGGAGGAGCCTAAGAAGAAGATGCAGGAGACCAGAACGGATCCTCAGTTGTGGATGGTCACGCGTAACCAGTCCGGGAAGTTCGGCTACGTGTGCCAGCCTTTGGGTGACCTCGAAGCAATGGTCACGATAGCGGACGCCAACCGAGTGGACAAACAAGTTGGCACCGACGACGTTGAAGCCACCGAGAAGGGCAACACGAAGCAAATCGTAGACGTCACAATAGAGCACGACAAGCCACCGTTGGTAGTTGGTCAAGACGAGCAAGAGACTAGACGAATACAGTGTGCCCGACAAAAATTGATCACAAATCGATACAAGCACAAGTGGCAAAAGCAACGGGTCGAAGTGGATACAGTCATGAAGCCCAGAGAGCTGAACCCCCGAGATATGTACCTGCCAAGATACCAGGCACCCACGTACCTTGGAGACCAAGCTGGGGACAACGCAAAGGCAAACAGAAAGGGGGACAACGCTGACAAAAGCCGAAGAAGTCGGAAACAAAAGAAATCAGGGGCTAAGGCTGTCGTCGATGACGACAAGTTTGTTGAGGCTTTCTTTAACGATTCGCTCATAACGGCTGAGGCTGGTGCCGATACCACTGTCATCATACCCGAGCACGGACCATTCAGCGCGAGTTCTCGAACAAACCGAGCCAAAAAAATACAGGCTGCCAAATATTCGAATTCACAGCACGAAATTGAGAAACGACTTGAAGACTGGCGGTCCGCGATGTACAACAGAATTATTGCCCCCATATACGAATCTCGAGCAGCCGTCTACGATCCCGAGCACCCAGCGTCCGTGTGACCATCGACTTGATGGTACATCCGTTGACTCCTCCATTGTGATCTTTTTGCATTGCGCGACTCTTCATTGCACTACTTTTTCTTTTTGGTAAGTCTAACCTTGGAGAACGCGATCTTGATCTGGCTTCCATTGAGTTCTTGGTTATGTAGAGTAGCTATAGCTCTGATGGCAAGGTCTGCGCTGGGATATTCAACTAACATATGCGTCTTTTTGGGTCCTCCTGGATAGGGCAGGCGTATTTCATATTCATTGACTGGTCCAATGCTGCTGACGAGATCAATGATCCTTTTGTGTGGGGTCTCGTCGGCGATGGAGGCAATGAAGATGGTATTAGTAGGGAAACATGCTGACTTGGCGAATTTGACGGGTTCGCAGAACCTTTGATCAGACTGAGAGTAGGCTTTACTCTTTAGACAATCGTCATCGACGGAGGCGCCACCGCTGGGCATTTTGACCTCTGTAATTTTGCTTAATCCGATTTGTATGGGTTCCGTCCAAAGAGCAATCAAATTTAGGAAATACCTTGCCAGCGAAGCATATACACAATCAGAAAACTGTACCAATGCTGTATCAGGTTTCTCTCTCAGAATCTTTATGCGAGTCACGACTCCATACAGAGAAAAGATGTTAAAGATGTCATCAATATTTTGAGTGCTTAAATGGTAAACAATCAATACAGACCCTCCGTTGGTCATTACCGGTACGTTGTTCTTCCACTCCTTGATCTCCTTCGGCAGTTTGGGCATGCCCAGTATGTCGCTGTAACCAGCTGAGAGCATGTTGGCACCGACCGTACCGTTGTTGGATTGTTGTTGAACAGTGAAGTCCCAGGCTTTGGTATTATTATGTTGAATGTTTAACTCGGATAACTTGCTGTACACAATCTCCAGGCGGTTACTATTAGCGTACAACATTTTACCTTCCAGCGAGAGCAACGCATCTCGTGCCTCGGTTTTGGTCCCATATTGAATCAATGCCTGGTACGTGTTTGTACCTGATTTTGTGAAGGTTATAATCTTCTCTATAGCTCCGTAGAGGGAAAAGAGTCTGACGAGCATGGACATGGTGACGGGGTTGACAACTTCATTGACGGTGACAAGTAAAATCTTGTTGGCCACAGCCACCGCGATCTCCTGTGGGTTGAAGCAGAGACTCACGCCCAGGATACTCAGCGCTCCATCCTCCTCATCATCACTCCCGAACATAGCGTCAGCGCGACGCGTGCTAAACACCACAATCTCGGTCCGGAGGTACTCGTAAACCAGCTGCGCATCCTCCTCAGACTCAAAGCAAAGATACACATTCCCGTCCAACAAGTCCACAGACTGCGCATCACAGTAACTCAACTCGCGCTCATACCAACCCACCACCTCCTCATAACTGACCTCCGGAGCCACTCGACCTAACTTCAGCACTCGACTTCCCAGCACGCTCGCATCCGCGCGCGCTCGCCGCACCGCCACTTCGCTCTTGAACCCACCCACGTGCAACTCCGCAGGCGCCCGAAAGTACTCATCGCCATACATTTCGCTCCGCAGACACGAAGGAGGCAACATCACTCTCTCCACCTCCTGCGGACGAGACGCTGACGACAAACAACTCGCTGTCGTCGCCGTCAAACAGTCAACACCACGCTGTTCCTTACCCGGAGCAGGCAAATACGCGCTCAACTCTCCCACCAAAGACTTCGCGTCAAACCGACTGTCCAACCAGTCTTCATATCCCGCCTGCCACACATCATTTCTACCCACACTCCCTCTTACGCTGCGCCGCGAACTCTGACCAACCTCCTCGTTCACGTAGGCCATAATTTTTTCCCATGTTAATTGGCGCCCCCCAGCCGTCCGTCGACCCCGGTTCAGTTGATCCCTGCTCGATGACCCCCCTGCTCTGCTCAGCGGCCCATGGTCCGTCGCCTGGCACTCGTTGGTCAGTGCGCTCAATGATCCGTCGGCCCTGTTCAACTGATCGATCCATCGCCCTGCTCAACCGGCCCTGCTCAAACGGCTCTGCTCAATTGATCCCGTTCCACTGGTCCCTGGTCAATGTCTAACTATCTATCAGGGGAACGACAGGCGCGAGCAAAATACCGCACTCCCCGCTGAAGCGGTGGTGGTCTCTAGTGAGCTTAATGTAGCCCAGGTCGCCCCACCGATCGCCCCACGAGTTCTTCACGAGCCAGTAGTGCTCGCCCGTCTTGGCGTCCGTGCCGTAACCTACGGCGAGCACGGCGTGGTTAAGATGCTTGCCACATTTGAGCTTCATCACCCCGGTGTGGTAGAACTGAAACACCGGGCGGTCAGCCTCAATCGCTACCGCAACCGGGCCGTAAAGCACCAGCGCAGCCCGCATAGCCTTCTCATCGTGCGCAGGCAGGTCCATCATGCCCCTCACCTTCACCATCGAAGCCGTGCAGTTCGAAGCGCGACACGCGTGCGTGTCCACTCCCTCGTACGGGTATGCCTCCTCCGTGCAAATACCGCCGTTGTCAATTACGTACTGGTACGCGTTATCCATAAAGCCGCCGCTGCAACCCATTGTGCCCTCCTTGCGCGCACAGTCGACTAACTGCTGCTCCGACAGAGACACCAATCGACCCGTCTGCGCACAATACGCACCCTCCAGGGAACCCGTCGAAGAGAAGGCCCAACAAGATCCACTACAACAAACGAAGAGTATGAACAAGAGCAGGGGTAGATCCTATAGATGACCCAGACACACAATCAAGACGGGACGATACGCAAAGTTGGACGGGACATGCGGTCGGTACACGTTTGGTCAAGCAGCTTACCAATGCTGCTGGTTTTTCACAGGCGTGACGCACTGGTGGTCGATCCAGTTGAAGCTGTCGGGCAAGGTTCGGTTTGCAACCCCACTGAGTACAGCGGAGCCGTCGATTCGTTTGTCCGTGGGGAACGACCCGTACCACATGTTGTCGGGCGCGACCGCTTGGAGGTGCCTGCTCCGGAACTCCGGCCAGTCCATGTCCATGAACTGGTTCGGCGCGAGGGAGACGTCGTTGGAACCATGTGTTCGCTGTTGCAGGTTGTGTTGGTAGATCATATGCGCGTTCCGCTTAAAGATCTCGCGCCGCTTGGAGTACTCGGGACTGGCTATAGTGTACTCCAGCCCCTTGTCGAAGCGAGCGTGGAAGTCCCGGAATATTTCGTTCCACTGTGGTTCGTTTAATTGGGATACGTCAAATGACCAGTGAGTGCTCTCCGGCGGCGATATCCAAAACTGCCGCGCGGGGAGCATCACGGGCCCGGACATGACCAAAACGGCACGGCCCGCCAAGCCCGTGAGCGCCGCGACTGCAGCCGATGCCAAAGCTACTCTTTTCCACCCACCCACCCGCGGCGACGACGACGTCGCTACCTCATCCTGGTACTCGTAGTAGTTCTCCTCCGCCTCCGGAAACGATTCAATGGTCATGACTCTGAAACAAATTTGCTTAGTTTTCCTCTAACGAGACACACTGTCTGTAGCCGCGGGAAAAATGGATCACTTCCTATGCGAAAAATACAAGCGAAAGCATCACAGCCGTGAAACCTGCGGGCAACCCGACTGCGAGATAAGCCCACTGTACCGGTGTCAAATTCAACTGGCTATTTCTTAGCTGTCACCTAAAAGACTCTCCGCTTGTCAGATCCCGAACTTACCACATCCGCGCCATCCCCCGAGTCTTTCTCGCTCACCTCCACCTCTTCCGTGGTGGTATCGTCATCGTCGTCAGTATCTACAAATGCCGAGGATGACAAAATCGCGTCAACGGTACTCCCCGAGGAGGAAGGCGCATGAGGGGTGAATGTGTAAGCTCCGTCAGTCGTAGTCGAAGTCGAGCTCGAAGTTGCCGGCAAGCTTTGGACTGTCGAACCCGTAGCTGCGCTCGTAGTTGTGGACTTGCCTCGGAGCTTATTAAACATGTTTGTGAGGAACTTCGGCATCAGTTCGTTACCATTGTGTTCATCGATTTGCATTAACTGCGACCGCTGCGAACCCATCAAGTCGTCAGGAACAATCTCTTCACTATCCGCCTACGACAATATCATTCGACAGCAATGTCACGAACATACCGTTTCGTCAAGATCCCGGTCGTATTCATTATCTGCCAAGTCCTTAGCAGCTCGCGCAACTCCTCTCAGATACTGCTGCTCCCCTAAGTTCTCGCTAGCGGTGGTTCCGGCGTTATTCAAAGCTCTCTCGCTTGTGCTCAAAAGATCTTGCGCTACTTCTTCATCCATATCCTCCAGTTCCTTGTCTGGGCAAAAGCTAAGTTAAACTTGAGGAAACTTACACTGCTGTATTAATTTGGCTTGTGTCGCTGGATCGGCATTCTCAATGAAATCATCTGCAACATCAGATCTTGTTATCAACACAGCTAACTCTCACTTTCCTCCTCTAGGTAAACTGCTGGGTCTCCATCCTCCTTCATTTTGGTCACCGTGACCTTGGTGGCCTCTGGTTTCGCGTGGACATGCGCGCTCACCTTGCCTGCGGAATTGGTGGTCTTCTTTTCTGTCCCGCTCTTGACTGCCGTGGCGGTCTGTGAAGCTTTCTTGGTCGTTGCGTGGGTGGTTTTAGTGCTGGTGACGGTGACCTCCTCCGCTCCGCCACTTTCGCCACTCACCGCTTTCTTTATGCCGTCCAAAGCTTTGCCTCCTAATCCCTTAGTCTTTTTCGTTTCTGTCCCGGGGGTGCTCACAGTGGCGGTTTTGTCGACGGTGGCGGTGCTTGTGGCGTGAGTGGCAATAGCGAGTAAAAATAGAGCGTTCAGCGCGCGCATATTCTACAGCACACGTGTGTGGTAAGGCAATAAAAATCGCTACAAGCTTTCAAATCCCCACACTTGGATTCTTTTTACGGTCCAGTCTTCCGTAGCGGTAAGAAGGGAGTTGTCGTACGTAGCGCAGCAGCCTGCGGTACCGCTGTAAAGATTGCTGTCGATAGCGAATGCCCAGCTGCCGCCGGAGCCGAATATGATCCGATCATGATTAGTGTATATAAACAAGTCGTTTTTCCCGGTCCAGTGGTAGGTTTTGATTTGTCCGGGGTTGCTGGATATGTGTCCAAAAGAATAGACAAACGATTCTCCAGATCCGTAGAAATGTCTGGATTCCTTAAAGCCGTCGGGACTGTAGCCGCCGAAAATGTAATCATGGGAGTTGAGGATAGCGATGAGTGCCGGTACGTGGCCCTTGGTTCGCAAGAACAAGGTTTGCATGCTGACACCGTGGAGTCTTGTGTCGAACAAGACTTGCCATTTGCGCAGCGCAATGGTGGGTGGCAGTCGATAGCTGAGTTCAGTGAGCATCTCGGTGGCGAGCAGAGACTCTACAGCGGAGGAGCTCTTGCGATCCAGCCGGTTACCCTCCGCGTCGACCATTTCGACCACCGCGCCGGACCGCAGCAGTTTGCCCGACTGCAGATCTTGATGGTCCCGAACCAAGACACTGTCTTCGGGACTCAAGACGGCGTCGTTGAACTCTACGCCGATTGAAGAACAACGAATTAGATCCTCCAACGCCTCATCTGAACAAAAGCGGGACTAGCCACCCCGTGGGACTAACCAACTCACGGCTGGGGTGTGCGCGACTGACCAACTCATGGTGGGGGGCGGGGAGGG